GGGGGTTAGAAATACAGAGTACGACCAAGTACGCTTGTTGTGTGTCTGGGTGAGTCTATGGTACCACCAGAGGTTGGGCACAGATGAGGAGGCACACGGGGTGGCAGATACAGTCAGAGGGGAGACGGGAGATTGTCGTGCACACGCACTAAGTAATGACCATGAGAATGTTCATGAATAGAACACACAGGCACACCAATATACAACCACATACACATACACCGTCCCATTCCGCTCTTACCGGAGATGAGAAAGTGGATGGGCTGGGCACAGGGGGTTGTGAATAAATTCAGCGGATACGAGGCGAACTAGCCGTTCACCCTCACAAATGAATCCTCGCACGCATGCACCCCCTGACAACACATCTACACACTCTCACAAAACCACACACCACACAGAACACCCCTTAAACCTAACAGTACCTGAAACCAGAGCACTTTACACATCTCACAAAGACACACATCATACAGACCACCCCTTAAACCTAATAGTATTTGAAACCAGAGCATTTTACACACACTCACAAAAACACACACTATACAGACCCCCCCCTTAAACCTACCAGTACCGGAAACCAGAGCATTTTACACACACTCATAAAAACACCCCCTATACAGACTCCCCATTGAACCTACCAGTATCTGAAACCAGAGCATTTTTCACACACTCACAAAACACACACCATACAGACCACCCCTTAAACCTTAAACCTAACAGTACCTGCAACCAGAGCGTTGAATGGGCTGGGCTCGGGGGGTGCGGATATGTCCAGAGGGAAGAGTGCGGTGAGGTTGCCATTGACACTGACCAGTTGATCACCGCGTGTGTTGCTGTTGTGTTGGTGCGCCATGCGCGGGCGCTGAGGCCCAATCATATTGCCGTGTGCGTCAGAGTACAGCCGATCACCTGTGTAGTCCACACGCGAGCGCTGAGAGTCCTGTATGAACAGGGAATTCGGACAAACATGAGTCCGTCTTCGCCTGTGTGTGCACCTGCCTGCGGAAAAAGAAGGGCCAGTTTGCGCCTGTATGTATATCTGCAAGAATGTAGGGGCATGTTATGTGGTACTGTTGTGCTAAGGCACCCTACGCGGGCGTTGTTGCCCAATCACACTGCCGTGTACATCCGACTACAATCTTTCGACCGTGAAGTCCACAGGGGAACGCTGAGTGTGCTATGAGATGGAGTTTGGGGTCGATCGAAAGTTGGTCAGTATGTACCAACCAGAATTTGGGAGATACAATTGGAGCCGGGAGGATAGGTGTCAGAATGTAAGTCGACTTGACAATTGCCAGACTGCACCTGTGAGTATATCTACGGGTTTATAAGTGTATCTACGGATTTATATATACTAGGACTAGAGTTGGGTAAACCATAGTCGGACTTCGCCAGTAGTACTTCCTAGAGAGGTATAGATCATACACTTGCATTCGAATAGTCGGTCTTAACGAGTAGGTACATTATCACGGATAAAGTAGACCGAATTCTGTTTGAATAAATACTGTTCAGTACTCGCTTGTAAGTTTATAACAAGTACATGCCCAGCGATTATAAAACCCAAATGCGGAGCTATTCCTGCATTATCTCCAATTACGGGTATACTAGTGATACGCCATGCATACATGGCTAGGCTATATAACGATATACGTATGTATATGAGATACATATGCGCATACGACGAGATCACAAC